AGTCAGGCGAGGGGCCCGTCTGCCTTTTATGTGAAGAGTTAAAAACTGGAGCACAGACCTTGTGGGGCTGAGCTTGGGGACTCCCTAGTTGGAGGGAGCCTCTCCCTGGGTTATGGACTGAGCCAGGGTGAGGGCGTTGGGGGAGAAGGGCTTGTGCTCTGCAGCCCTCTGTTGAAGGGGTGCCACCTTAGGTGAAAACACAAAATCCGTAGGACAGGAAAGGCAAGGGGGAGCTTGGCATGTCTGCTGGTGCTTCCATGCCAGGGATCTTGGGTTTTCCTACTTGCGTGGTTCCTTCCGATACGAGCAACTGCACCTCGTGTGCCTCTGATACAAAGACTGCCTTGGTTGTTTTAAACAAATTTGGTATCTAGTTCTCTGAGGCAGTTTGGATCTCTGCCGTGTTTCATAACTGATGTTTTGATTGAAAAGAAACAGTTAAACAAGTAGAGGAAAAAGACGGACCGTGTGTTGACTGCCCTAACTACTTCAGTAGTGAGTGCCCTCCGTGTTCCTATTGCGTGCTTCTTGGTCGCTCTTGTACTTTATTTTTAAGGTTAGAACCCACTAAACAGTGTTTATTTGAGTTTCTCATCAGATGAGCACTGGTTTAAGACTTTTTTCCCCTACATCCTCTATTTAGATAAGCTATGTTGACAGCTTTTAGGGCTTACGCTTCAAACGTATCAGAGTTAAGAGTGCACTCATGATTCTCAGGGTGTCGCGCCTACGTTGCACAATACAGGTTTAGGTATTATATAATACATTAATTCAAGTACAAAGGCCTGAGTTGTTTTTACAGCAGGGTCATAAATTTAAATTCAAGGTCTCTTTTAAGTAACTCAAAATCTCCACTTTAGTGTGGAATGGAAATCGTTTGTTTTGTGGATGTGATTTTTTGTACCTTACATTTTAAACGTAACAGCTTGATTTCTACCCCACCACTGCAGAAAGTGCCATTACTACATTAGTAACCATGCAACAGACAGTGCCTTGTTTTATTACGTGGTCAATTATGCTTACTATTCAGTTATGGTTGGAAGTATGCCAGTCATTACTCATTTGTCACCTTAGTCAAAAGAGCAGGAAAATGAAAAGTCTGTTCTCCAAACTAATGAACTGGAAGGATTAATGACTTGGGGGTACTGGTTGATG